TATATATACACATATATATATATATATATTTTTTATTTTTTATTTTTTATAGAAAATAAGGTGCTCCCAGAAGTCCTTACGGTTTTATAACATAGCACTGCGGAAAAATAAAAATAATGATAACTTGCTAAGAACTAAATAAAACTTAAAGAGAGTAAACAAAAAACTAGGTAATAGTTATAACAGTGCATACTACTGTTAATAAATGAACAAACAAAAATTAAAGATTGAAAGTTAATTCGAATGAAAAGTTATAAAGATTTTAAGATTTTTACTCGACTAAATCGACTTTAGTTGATTAGTAGGAAATCCATAGTCGATTAAATCGACTTTAGTTGATTAGTAGGAAATCCATAGTCGATTAAATCGACTATTTAGTTTTTCAAAGTCGACTAATTTCGACTAGCCAATTTTTAGTCGTTTAGTCGAAGTCAATAACAACACTATAAATAATACTTTACTATAAAGAATTGCTGTAGCAATTGGTGTAACGGATACATTTTCAAAATTTCATTCGATAATTTTGTGGTGTTTTTTACAGGTTTTTTTTTAAACACCTTTAGATGCTTTTTGCATATTTCGAGAAAAATGCAATTAAAAAAAATTAATAAGAAAAACTCTATGTAAAACGTTTTTTGAAACTAATAATTTTTAGGAATTTTTTTAATATTCTCTAGGCATTAAAACTAGCACAAATTCGTCAAATTTTATTTATTTTTTAAAATAAAGAATAAATAAATAAAGTTAACAACTATACACAGTAAAATATTACTGAACAGTAAACATCAAAAAGATTAATGTGTGTTTTGTAAATATAATTTTTAAATTTTAAATTTATTTTGTATCTTAAAGGTTCTCGATGATAAGACTTCTCGTAGTCTTCTGCGAGATTTCTTACAACTACATTATTTTGATTTATTAATATATATATTCAACGACAACCACAAGCAACTCCTTAGTAGCCCAGTGGTTGCAACGGACTTGCGTATAATTGCTTATAACCACGAATTTTTAAATTAGTTGTTTTAACCCAATGTCAATCGCACATGTGCATGACATTCTTAACTTTCTTTAGACATTGTAAATATGTGTGTTGTACATATATATAAACGATATAAACTGAAGACATGCACTATTTTTTTTAACGCCAAATATAATCCTACATGCATTTTTTTATTTATTTTAGATTTTTTTAGCTTACCATAATTTGTACTTTCCTATGCAATATTGCAACAGAAAATAAATTAATATATATAATAATGTATAGAATTATATAATAATATGTAGAAAATAATAAACTATATTTTCTAAAGATTCAGTATTAATTATTGGTTCAACTCTATACAGCATAGAATTATTTTTAGAAATTTTATCTCTAATAGATTTAATATGAAAAATTCTTGACATATTTTCATCTAACATCACTTTCAGTAAGTTAACGGTTGGTTCTTTTAATAACTTATTAATAAAATGGCAAGGTAAATTTAAAGAAATATGATCACGCTTAGTAGGTTTATGGAACAACGTAAGCTTAAAGAAATATGATCACGCGTAAAAGGTTTGTGAAACAATATAAATTTAATTAATCTGATCACACTTACTAGGTTTGTGAAACAATAAAATTTAGTTTTTTCAGAATTATAAAGTAATAGACGTAAGTGTATATTAATCAGCAATCCACTTTTTACAAATTTTTTATAATTTTTGTTTAATTACTTGAGTAAAATAGATTAGTGCCATCACTAAACTACATAAAAAATAACATTCGGGATGTTAAATATAATATCATTTATATAAATCAAACAAATAGCGGTCCTAAGATTGAAGGTCCCTGAAGAACATCACAAATTTTAATGTAACTTTGTGTTTCATCTGTTTGATATATTATGTATGTTTGTCTTCTGTTTGGCAGATAATCCTCGAAGTAAATTGAGGTATTGTTAACTCCAGAGTTAAACTCGAGCTCTTTAAAATCGTGTTGACTAAAGTTGGCAGAGCCATAATCGAAAGTATTTGAAAAACATTTTGCACACTTGTAATTTAGCAAATCTTTTAAACATAGTAGCAAACATAATACCTCTACTCAAAGAAAGAAAGTAAGCAACAAACTATTGACCAATCTCGTTAACCTCAACAGTTTTCAAAATAATGGAAAAAAGTAAACAAAGACAAAATAATGAAAAGCAACTTGATTATCTCTTAGCAATACAGATTTGGTTAAAACCAAGATTGTATAACAAATTCACTGGTAGAGGGGTCAATATGTATAGGTTCCATTCATGAGTTTTTTAAGAACTCGTTAACGTTTTAAATGAAACGTCAGGAAAACTTTTATATAAAACATTAGTAGCCTCATTTTGAATATGATATAATAAAATGAAGTTAACAAAAGCTGAAATTGATAAAATTGAATTAACTAAACATAAAGCAAAAAAATATTAAAAGAGTGATAAAAAGTTCCCCCTATGAAAAAAAACACTGATATTTGAAAAAAATGCAAAAAAACAAAGAATTTTAAAAAAGAAATATTTTGTAAAGGCTCAAAGTATGAAACTATTTTATGATTCGATTTTTTATGCGATATACATACATTTTTTAATATATATTTTATAGAAACAATGTGTAATTATAGATCACAGTTACTATTAGAAAAAAATACAAAACCAAAAATCTAAAACATTTTTACTTCTTTTTAGCATGACTAATATTGAAAAATATAACAAGCCATCAATGTTATGACTGAAAACTATAATGAAACTAATAAAATTTTCGCTGGACCTCATCGAAATGCTGATCCTCATCGCCAGTAATAATAGACATAAATAATAAACGCCAGTAATAACAGTTTTTAAATAAAAAAATTTTCGCTGGTGTGACCACATACCAGTGACCTTCATACAGTTTTCTACAAGTTCCTATATTTATTATGTTTTTTTATTATATTGATAAAGTTTTTGTAATTTCATAAGCGCATTTATAAAAAAAAAAAAAAACTTTATGGAAAAATTTAGTATTGAGCATATATTTAAAATCCGTGCTCTTTTTGGAGTTTCAGCACAAAACATAACTGATGATTGGTATTAGTTCATAGTGACCATAACCGATATTGGTATTAGGTCATGGTGATTAAAAACTGAAATTGGGTACAGTTGCAAATGGAGTCTTTAAAAAGAGTCTCAAAGATAATCTACGCTAAAAGTGCCCTCAAACCACGTACAAAGCTAAGAATATCAAACAAGCCTGTGTCATGGTTAAAGAAATTATTTGGTTAAAGCCCTGATATTGATTTATCATTTTAAAATCAGTAAAATTATTCAAACAAAAATACAAAAAAACAACAAAAAAACTAACATCAAGTTAGATATAAAAAGGATTAACCAATTAAAATCGAATAGAAATGATTGAGACATGTAAGGATAAGCATGTAAGGATAATAGGACTAACAAAAAGTTAGTCCTGTTCTGGAACCGCGTAATGTTATTATAGAGGATAAACAGTAGTTTTATTTTAGACAAGTTGGAAACAAGTCGGCCGACGTTAATTGGGTTTACGAAAGTGAAATTTCAAGAACTGTAGCAAAACGCGACAAGTTTTGAACCAAAAACACGTTTTACATTTTTTTCAAAACAATAGGTATTGCTCATTTGGGTTATGTTGAAAAGGGGAAACCTTTACTAGTTAATACTATATGAGAAAATGTTTAAAACCTACTTTACGCAAAAATGAAATGCAAAGACCCGTATTAGGCAATCACAAATTTAAATTTATGACAACGCTTGATCCCATGTTACTTAATCTGTTACAAATTGTCTTAATCACGCCGGAATCTCAAATATTTGCCACTTGTTGCGCTCGCCAGACTTAGCTCGTTTTGATGAAAGAAATTTTGATGACTGACGTCAAAAGTTTCTTCAATGTATATATAAAAGTTTCTTCAATGTTTATATAAAGTATGAAAAAATGAAAACATGAAAAATAATAGAATTATTTTGAGCATTTTATTTTTATAAGTGATTTTTTTCTATCGACCTAAGTACTACTTTTAAAATCAAATATTTTTAATAAATTATATTTTAAAAATCAAATATACTTAAAATGTAATATAAAAATTTATACATCAAAAGGCTCTATGAAAAAAACGATAGTAGTAATTATATCACCCTTATCTTCTTTGAGCTTTTACCTGTTTATAAAAAAGTTCTTAAGAAAAGTTTTATCTTTAATATATAAAAATGCAAAAATGTAAATGTGATGACAATAGTTTTAATATCCCACGTTATGTGTTAATATTAAATGTTTAATAAAGAGGGAGTAATTATATTTACTTTGTAATAGCGGGAATAATTACTTTGTTGCAGCGGGAAAGCGGCAAATGCGGTAAAATCGTGCTGTGATTATAAAAAGTTTCACTTTTAAAATATTTTAACTTTACTTACAGAGCTGTTTATTGGAATTAGCAGTAGTAGTATTAGAATTTAAGCCTTGGAGTACTCTTTAGATAATTATTATTTTCTAGAAAATGATTTATTAAGTACTTTGCTGTTAAAGGTTTTATATTACCTTGTTATTATTAAGGGACTTTTTTTAACGTGGTTGGAAAAGCAAAAGCTTAAATAAGCTAAATTTTTGTTATTTAACTTATGTTCTTTTGATTTAATACAACTCTTAAATATAACAATAGGTAGGAGTGGTGTAAAAACTCCATTTAAACACAAAAATAAAACGAAAGCTACGTAGGAAAAATTAATTTCGTTAAAAGTTACGAATCTTGTACGAAACCATACAAAAGCTACGAATCTTTTACGAACAATACGAAACTTTTAATCAACGAACCATGTATCAAAACTGAGTTACTTAAATCACGTATCAAAGGCATGAGTTATTTAAATCACGCCCCAACTTTTTTTGGTCATTGTTTTAAGCAACAGTTTTGAAAAAAATGTTTCGTTACCTAACAATACTATAATTATAAGCTATTTTAATATCTGTATTTTTTATCTTCCTACTACCTTAACTACTAGCAGTATCTCTCGTATTAGTATAAAATCGGTTAAGTAGTAAAAGTTTTAATATAAAATGTGTAAAAAGTAACAAACAAAAAATATAAAAGAAGTATTAGAAATTAAATTAATTGCTTTATTTATATAGCTGTTTTAACAGTGACCTAATACTTTTATAAATCATGGGGACTCAATCTGATGAAGAGCCAAAAAGACGGCAGAGACCTACCAGAAGCAGACAAAGATCTGGTATGTTTTGCATCATTTTTACCGTTACAAATTAAATGTTATTTCGATCAATTAATTCTGACAACATTGTTTAAATATTTAATTTTGTTCAGTGTTTATTAACCACTAAATTTGATTCATGTGTTTCGTATATATCTTGCATTTAAGTCATGTATATCTTTAAAGATACATGATTATATGGTATAAATTAGCTCTGACAACTTTGCTTAACCATTTAATTTTGCTTAGTGTTTAATTATCCACTGAACTTGAATTGTATATTTCATATATCTTACATATACATATCTTTAAAGATGCATCATATCATGGAATCCATTACCTCTGACAACTTTGTCCGACCATTTTATTGTTTTCAGTGTTTTATTATTGGTTTGTGTTTATATATATATATATATATATATATATATATATATATATATATATATATATATATATATATATATATATATATATATATATATATATATATATATATATATTATATATATATGTATATATATATATATATATATATATATATATATATATATATATATATATATATATATATGTATATATATATATATATATATATATATATATATATATATATATATATATACGCGGTTCTGGAACAGGACTAACTTTTTGTTAGTCCTATTATCCTTACATGTCTCAATCATTTCTATTCGATTTTAATTGGTTATATCTTTTTATATCTATATATATATATACCTGCTAGAAAAGTCTTTGTCATCATTAGTTATGTTTGTTTTCTCATTAATGCTCTTATTTCAAATTTTTTCAAGCTTGAAACTTCTCATTTATGAAGTCAGAAGTTTTAAGTTTCACTTATTATATGCATTATGACTATACCACAAACCACAAGGTTTTGATTTTTAAACTTTTAATAATGTAATTGACAAAGCTCTATTTTACTAGATGCTTAGATCTCTAAAATTCATCCACCTTGTTAGACTGCAGCTCCTCATTTTGGTTTCTTTATTTTTGTAAAATTTCAATATTTTGTATCTTTTATTACTGCTTTTGAAATTTCTTGAATTTCTTGAATTTTCTTTTTTTGAAATATTTTTAATCTTTAAAATTTTTGAATTATGTTTTATCAAAACCATATTTTTTAAAAATTCTAAGTTAGGTTTTTATTTTTTATGAGATATGAAAGATAATGACGTAGATAAGAGAAATAAAAATATGGGGAAAAAAGTTAAATAAGCATTTAAATACTTTTTTTAAATTTGTTAGATTTTTTTTTCCTGCTTAAGTTACTACTCATTGCCAATGTAATAAGGCTTTGCATATCAAAATAAGACCAAAGATTTATAATAATTAAGATAAAAATAAAATAAAAATAAGACCATAGATATTTATAATAATTAAAATAAAAGTTGATTTTATGACTTAGCTGTATTTCTTTAAAAAAAAAAAAATTTTAATTCCAGTTTTAATTTAAAAGGCCGAGGTAAATTTTTTACAAAATCAAAAAAAAAAGAGTTCTTTACCATTTTGTTCTATTTTGAAATTTTATAAAACATTTCAGAACAATTCTTGTAACAACTGTATTAAGTTTTTTTTATTTCAGAACAATTGTTAAATAACATCCTTTTAATTATTAATTTTTTTCTCTCCAGAAAGTGAAGAGGAAACAGAACATCAAAATAATATCTACACAAAGGAAGAGAATGGAGAAACACCATCAAGCATTAATACTGAGGATAAAGAAAATGAAACTGTAATTTTTTATTTATTAAGTTATAAAAAGTTGTGTATGTATAAATTATATAATTGTTTATAATAGTTATATGCATAAATTATTTTGACTTAAATCTTTTTGACTGAACCTGAAAATTGCATTCAAACAGATAGATTTGGAACCATTTATGAATACCATCTTCCAGGTATGGTGCAAACTCAAAATTTTTTATATGTTCATGATGATCATTTGTAAACATTCAGGAAAATGATTTTTTTTAAATAATAATTTATTTTTTTTAGAAAAAAAATTAATGCACCTTATACACATATTAAAAAAAATTAATTTAAATATAAAATATTTCTATGTTAAGGAGTAATTACCATGTAATGAATGCAACCTGCACATGTTAAGGGAGTTTACATGAAAACATTACATGTAATGTTTTTTAGGTATCTAGGTATTTCTAGTTTATTTAGGTATTTAGAAATAGTAACCATGTGGTTACTATTTCTAAATACCTAGATATTTTCTTATTTCGAATTTTAAAGACCTTTGGTTTAATTTTGAATAAAGTAATTTTTTTTTCTAAGGTACTATTTTCCTAAACAGTGTTCAAGAGGGCAAAAATGGGTATTTTTATTTCCATGTTCTGCAATAATTTTTTGTAATAGATTCTCATTGGACATCATCGTGAACATATAAAAGTTTTGAGTTTGCACCATCCCTAAATGTAAGTCCTCTTGAATTAAAAAAATCCACCTATTTAACCACAAAAATCTGGTCCAGAAAATTCACCTCTAAATGTACTTATAAGATCTATATAATCTATTCATAGATATATAATGCTTACATTGAGTGATTTTTTTGTACCTTTCAAATAAGGTTAAAATATAAGTAAATTTTTAAAATTATGTTTTATATAAATTAATAAATTCAAATATATAGTTATTCTAAATTTGATTGTGACCCACTGATTTATTTGATTCAATTGTTTATCTTGAGTTTAAGTTGGTTTATGCCATATTTTACAGTCATAAGAGAGTGTAGAAATGATTAACAGGGATATATTGGGCTATATCTCCCTACTTTTGCATTTATTTAAATCTCCCTACTTTTGCATTTATTTAAATCTCCCTACTTTTGCATTTATTTAAATCTCCCTACTTTTGCAAGAATTTAAAAACTTAAATAAGTTTTTTTTTTTTTTTTAAATTAGTTAATTTAAATGGTTTTAAGCAGAGGTTTTTTTTACTTTTTTTAAAATAACAATTATATTGCAAGATTTTTTCTCATCAGCATTTTGATCTCTAATGTTAAATCTATAACCACCATAACTGTTCTCACCTGTAACCACCATAACTGTACTCACCTGTAACCACCATAACTGTACTCATCTGTAACCACCATAACTGTACTCACCTGTAGCCACCATAACTGTACTCACCTGTAGTTCATTTTTAAGATTCTCCTTACTTCTTAGGTGTTTAGTTAGGTTCCTAGATGTTTATTTGTTATTAAACACAACAAATAGTCATCAATGCATGACTTAAATTAAATTAAAAACTTATGACTTAAATGATTACCATGCCAAACAGGTTTTTGTGTGTGGTTTTATTTTGCGTTTTTTTGTGGTTATTGGAAATTTAGCAAGCTTTTTACAAACATTTATAAAATGAGGTTATGTATTGAAGAAAACTTGTTCAAGTTTTGAATTGTTTGTAGTACTTATTTCTGTGTTAACTTTATTTTTTATTTATTACTTTAAGCTTTTTTTGAAAAAGATAACTATTTGATATGTGATTATATAACTCGTTAATAAAAAAATGAGTTTTAAAAGTTAAAGCCAACTGATAGCTTTTTGAAGAATAAGTATGGGTCTAAATTTATATTCAGAAGAAAAGTTTTTAGGTGATGGAGTTATTTTTAAGTTGAGTGAAAGATGGAGTGTTTGGAAAGTTTATATAAATTCAGAAGAAAAGTTTTTAAGTAATAGAGTTGTTTTTACATTGAGTGAAGAGTGGAGTGTGTAGAAAGTTCATATAAATTCAGCAGAGAGTTTTTAGGTATACAACCTTTTTTTTTGTCCAAAAAAATCTTTACTAGTATGTGAACCAGCAACTAAAGTTTGTAGATTCTTAGTAGAAGTATTTAAGAAAATTAATAAACTCTATCACTTTGGTTTTTTTAGAGATATTTTGAGAATATTGTGAATATCATCACTTTTGTTGAACACTCTAAAAATAAAATAAAACAAATGAAACTATTTTTTTATAAATTTTATTTTTGAAAAATAAAACTTTTTTTTAATAAAACATTTTATAACAATTTTTTTAAAGGACACGTTTCCTTGCAAGGAAGTTCCTGAGGAGTCTCACAAACCTGCCGAAAAAAAGTCATCCTTTCAAAAATCACATTCAGTTGCACCAACTTCGAATACAGAATTGAGAAAAGCTAGTTTTCAAAAAAAAACAGCATCAGTTGATGAAAACAACAGGTGAATACTTAGGTTGAATGTTTTATTGTTTTTTAATTTTAATTTTGGTGTTGTTGGCAGTGAAAATTGTTTTTAATTATGTGCAATATTTGTTTTTGTTTTCAGTTGTTGTTTTTTTGTATATTAAATGTTCTGATTGCCCTGGTCTTATTTGAAATTCTTTTAGAAAACCATAATAACAAATCATAACAGATTATAGTAACTCTGTATCCGGTGACACAAATCAGGGAAGAGAAGTTTAAGGTTTTCCTCTATTTCTATCAGAGTAGCAAATAGCCTCTTTTACATTTTGTTAGTGTTTTTGTATAATTTTTAAACAAATAAATTTAGTTAAGCAAGAAAACCTCATTAAGAAACAAGTTGAATGTGGTGGTGTTTTAAGGTTGATATTTTTAATAATATAGACCTGTTGAATGTTTAACTGTCTTTTGAAATCCTTAAAAATACATTATAGGGTTTTAATCGGATACTTTTAAAAATGTTTTTTTTGGACTACTTATATATATATATATATATATATATATATATATATATATATATATATATATATATATATATATATATATATATATATATATATATATATATATATATATATATATATATATATATATATATATATATATATATATATATATATATATATATATATATATATATATAAATATTACCATAAAATGGTGGAAATTTTTTTTAATATACAACATTACGATGGACATTAAAAGGTTGTTAAATGCACAACCTTTAAACACATAGAAAGAATTTTTCATTTTTGGATTTGTTTACATTGTTTAAATTGAGAAATAAGATAAAAAAGAAACAATGTTTATCTTTTTATGTTGCTAAGCAGCAATGTTTGTCTTTCCATATAAAGCTATAAGTCATTAAATGATTTACTAACAAATATTGAATAAAGTTTGCAGAAACTTTATAGTAATTTGAATTGATTTTAAGAAAATAATAAAAGTATTGAAATGTTAAAAATTATTTATAATATTTAAAACTTTTACTGCGTTATTTTAGTAGTGGCTTTTTTAATATTGTATGTTATTTTTTTTTTTTTCTGTAAAACAATTTTTTGTTTTAAAAATCTTTAATAAAGATTTGCAATATTTGATCTTTGATGATATATTGATCAAAAGGTGATATATTGATTAGGATCAATTCTTTATTCAATATATCACCTCTTGATGATGTATTGATTTTCTGAACTTTTCTGATTTTTCTTTGTTAATTTCAGTAGTTTTAAAGTTAAATAATGTTGTTTTTTTTATTGAAAATTATGAAATGAAAGTTTGAATTAAATTAAAATAAAAGGTAAAATAAATGTTTGATGATGAAAAGTACTTTTTTGTGTTTAGGAAAAATTCTTTCAATGAAAGACCAGGCTGGTCATCTTCAACCAAAGTGGAGCATGAGCGTGTTCCAATTCACACAGTCGCCCGAAAAGAATCAATTGATACAGAAGAAAAGCATACTACATCTTCATTGCGTGCAAATTGGGAGAGAAAAGCAAGCAATAGCACTCCCATAAATAAGACTAAAGCGTTTGGCAGCTCAACAGGTAGTTTTTTGGAGCTCAAAAGTTGCTAAAACGCTAACAAGAATACACTTATAAATATATATATTTTTTTTGAAAGTTTTTTTTTTTTTGCTAAACAGGAGCAGCAGTGATGCGTGCACAATTTGAGAAGCAAAGGTCAAACAGTTATTCTAGAAAAGAGTCTGTTGATTCAGAGGATGCAAAGCGACCTAGTGCTTCATTATTAAAAAATAGGTTTGAAAAAATGAACACTGAACCAGTTGTTAAAAGAAATTTTGTTGTAAGTTGTTTATATTGAAAAATTATTTTCCCTAATTATTTTCAAAACATTTCAATTTTTTATCTAAATTTATTATAATTATTATATTATTTTGTTGTAAGTTGTTTATATTGCAAAATTGTTTTCCCTAATTATTTTCGAAATGTTTCAATATTTATTTTAAATTTATTATAATTATTATATTATTTTTTTTGGTTTTTATTGTCTAACAAATTTATCAATATTTAATTTTTATAATAAAAAGTTATTTTTTTAAATAAAACAATAACTATTTTATAAAGTATCCTATTTGAATATAGTGCTCCTCTTGCCATAGAAGAATATAAAATTTATCTGTAAATATAGTGTCATTCTTGCCATAGAGGAGGAAAATATATTAAAATAATAATAACAAATATTTATAATATAATTAAAATTTGATGTTTCTCAAATTCCTGGCTTCTTTTAAAGATTCCTGGTTGTGAAGAATCACTTGTTTGTCTTCAAAGTCCATGAAACCCATCTTATAATATCTCTTATCATTGCATGCATGATAAAATACTTATCAATGTTTGAAATGATAATTGTAATAAATGTCTTTAGCATGTCTATATATTAAAAAAAAAAGTTTTTAAAAATAATTAAAAAATTATGAAGTCCCCCCCCCCCCCCACACACACACCATTCATTTTTGTACGCTATTTGAAGGCCCCCCTCCCTCTATGAGCGTACGTACTTTATGGACAACCCCTTATTGTTTATTTATAAAGAATATTTTATTTATAAGTTGTCAAAAACTTAAAACTGAATAGATGGTTATAAACATCAAAATTGCCTCAGTTAATTTTGTCAAATCATAAATCTGAGACTTTTTTTAATAAAATAAAAAAATTTAAAATTTAGAAATGTTTTTATGTTGTCATGCAAAAAACCTTTTTTTAATTCAACTTTTGTTAAACAAATAAAATTTTATTTTTTGATAAAGTTTTTATTTTTTGGTAAAGTTTTTATTTTTTGTTAAAGACAGTTGATGACATTAAATTTAATCAAGTTTATTGTAAATTTTTTACAATTCATAGTTACTTATTTTACAATTCAGTTAATTATTTCACACAATTACTCGGTTTAGTTGAGGCAATTTTAAAATATTATAGTGTTTGTATGATATTTTGTTGACTACGACATATTTCCATTAAATGATCAAGTCTGTGAATTATGAAAAGACAAAAAAAATTAAAATGATTAATTTTGCAGTATCATAAAATATGTTTGTATACCCAGACAGAAGATCCTTTTTTTTTAAAAAAAAAATCTTTTTAAATAAATATGTTGTTTAGGTGAAATGAACATCATAGTTTAATAATATGATCTGTTCTGATTGTTTATTGGCAATTTTTCTTGATTATAAGCTCTTTCTTGGTCAAAATTCTAGTATTTTTTGCGAAAGTTGATTGAAATATTGTATTTTGACAACTATATATATTTAATATACATCAGATCTGATTCGAACTAGGATCTATAGTGATTTAGGGTACTTTTTCAAAAGATTTTAACTACATTCATATCGACCCTGATAAGCGAAAGTGATCTAAAGACTCCAAAATGATGTTCCTTAGATTCGCTATTAGGGGTAGTAAAAAAATTTTGAAAATTATATAAAAAAAAGAAAAATTTCTTTAAATATTAAAAAGACCTAAAGCAAAAAAAACTATAACATCTAAAGCTCTTGTTTAGACATAATACGCTGATACTAATCATAATCATAATGATCATGCTAATTCAGAATAAAAGAATTCAAATAATTTGTAAATCGCCTTAACTACACCGAGTACCTCTCTAATTGTTGTAGAGTAATCATGCTTTTCATTTATGGTGTCAGTTTTAAGAACTATAAAATACTTCACAAAAAACTTTCCAACCTTTTGAATTAACTCATTAAAATATTTAGTAGTTAATATTTTAATATTCAAAAATCTTACCTTTTTTTTATAAAAAAAAAAAAAATATGTTGTTCAACACATATAAAAGCCATCTTGTTTTTATTGTAATTTTATTCTAATTCACTTCTAACAAGGCTGCAAATAACCATTGTTAAGTTGGGAGTTACTAGAAAACAAAGATTAGAGTTAAATTGCAAAGAAACAGTTGGCAGAAGAATTGAAAAGTTGTAGTTTGTATGAGATTTGTAGAGGTAAAGAATGGAATCAGGAGTAAGAAAATGGTGAGCACAATAAAGAAAAGAAACCTTAGCAGATACTAACTTAGCAATCAATTGTATATATGGTTTCCATGAGGGATCAGTAGTAAATGATAATTCAAGAAGATGTATAGAAGAGGACTCAGTGAGAGGGTTGCCATAGGAGTGTCATCAGTATTGCGATAGTTTTTTGCAGTAAATAACTGAGTTTTGTTGGAGTTAAATTTCACAAGCCACTACAAGCCCTAAGTTGTTACAAAAGTGAGATCAGATTCAAGATCGGCTGCTTGATCTGAGCAATTGAAAAAAGAAGACTTTTTTTCAAAAAAAGAGTATTATGTTGAGTCATCAGATAACAGAGCCACATTAGATGTAAAATTGTCAGGAAGATCATTAATGTAGAAAAGAAACAAAACAGAACCAAGGTTGGAACTTTTGGGGTACCCTAGAAGTGAAAATAACGGAGAGTGCTGGCCTTTGAGGATGACTTTGATAAAGCAGTTAGAAAGTAATGATTTGATAATCTTGAAAATTTTTTGAAAGATACACCATATGAAGCAAGCTTATGGAGAAGACCAGCATGCCAAACCTTATCAAAAGCTTTAGTTATGTTAAGAAAATAGCAGAGAGAAAGAGTTCTGGAGAGTACTTTTGTATGACTATGGTAGAAATGTTGTCTGGATCACATGCTCTAGAAGAGTTTATTTGAGATATGATTTTAGCAACGAAAGCTGGAGTGATTTTTTTTCCAAAAGTCTCTAAAATCTAACTACTGAGATAAGATACAAGATTTTTTAATTTGGGAATAATGAAGCTTAGCATCAGACAGCACCTTTTTACATTGATTTCTAACAATAATAAATAGTTCTCAAGAGAGTTCTTTTGAAAAAGATGAAAAAAATGATTACAATTAGATATAGCAGCTGAACACGAAAGGGAAAACCATGGAGTAGAACGAGGCTTGACTTAGAAACAATGAGAAGGAATAAAAGCTTTCATTCCTCTTTGCATCTAGGAGGTTATGTAGGAGGCGTATTTATCAGCGGAGAGAGAAAAGACATCAACCCAAGAACCGTCACAAAGAAAAGTACAAAAAGAATCACACTAAGTTTTATGGTACGAGAAGTACTAGATGAAAGATTTATAGAGACCATTTTATGGTCAGACCTAGTTTGTGTTTAGTTTCTCCTTGTTCTCAAAGAGAATGTCTTAGTCCTGCTAATTAACCTAAAGTTGTTAATAAACTTAAGACTCCTTATACGACTTTGACAATAATCATCAAAATAGAAATACCTCCTACAAAACAGTAGCTGGATGCAGTTAACATCCACCCAAGATGAGTGTTTTTATATATTTGTTAAGTATTTTATATATTTTCAATAATGTTTTTTTATTAGTTATAAAAAATCACATCTTGTTACAAAAATTATTTACTACATTGTTTGAAAACACAACTTTTGACTCATCAACAATTAATGATCAATATATCAAACATACCAATAATAAAAATGCTATTTGTGACTTCTGTCAATATTTAGCAAAGCTAATTAATAATGCCAAATGAAATCACGACATCTCTCCCAGCTCAACAAGAGCTCATTCATAGTTGTGATTCACTCTTGGCTGTTTGATTCACACTTCTTTCATATTTAGTGAGTCAAACAGCTTGTAACTCTTTCTCACTATCTGTTAAAATGATTTGATCAATGCTCCCCATACTGTTGTCAGCTTTGCCATTATCCCGAGGTTTATTTGAAAGTTTGGACCTTCATTCTCCACATGTTCTAAGTTCATTTAGGAAGGTTGAATGAATTGAATAGAAGGTTGGGAATAGTGTTGAATTGTATTTTTCATCAAAATTAGATCTTTTTTGTCACAGTGCTTCAGATGAGAGAAATGTTTTGGTAACATATGTCTGTTGGCTTCAACTTCAGCTGTTAGAATGATATACAGTGCCACTTTACTTTTTTTCAACCACTATTCATATGCTTAGAGTTTATTCACACTTTATAGCCAATTTTCCATCTTTGAATCTCTGTCAAAGATGTATGTGTTGGTTTGACTTTTAAGATTCCAGGAATTCAATTTAGTTTCTAATTTTAGAAAAAGACTTTTGTGTGTGCATATTTTGATAGAATGTTGTTGTTGTGCGTCATTAATAATTAGCGTGCTAATTATTGACAAAAGTTAAACAACAAGCTAACCGGGCATGTCTATTATCTCCGCAATATGAAGATGGACAGCCAAAGCGATTTATTCGACAGATGACTTCCTTCTTTGCAATAAACAATATAACTTCAGATCAACACGTAGCATTTTTGCTTGCCGCTCTGCCGTTAAAAACTTACAAGACCATGGAAGAATTAACAGCACCGGAAGTTCCAGAGGATGTTTCGTACGAAGTATTGGTAACAAAATTGGAAATGTTGGAAATAAGAAAATCATCGTTAATCTCACGATATGAGTATGGAAAAATTTACCGAGGTACTGAAGAATCTATACAGACGTTCGCGCATCGAGTGATTCGAGCAGCTCAAGACTGCAAGTTCTTGCCCTCAGAGAGAGACGGCCGTCTTCGTGACCAATTCATAATTGGCATTAATGATGGTGCCATTCTGCGTGCTATTCATCGGGTAGACGATGCATTGAGCTTTGACGATTGTGTCAAGACTGCATCCATGGTTGCACAAACAAGATTAGATATGGCACGTTTATCTGTGAATGAAGAAGTAAATGCGATTCACCGGACGACTGGAACGACAAGTTATACACAAAGAAAGAAAGAAATTTGATGTTACAACTGTGAATCCTTAAATCACTTTGC